CCTGCCCACATTATCTAAGATCATTGAAAGATTGGTTTAAAAAAGGCTTCTATCTTTTCTCCTTAAATATAAAGTACTTTCTACCCATCAATTTGGATTTCTAAGTAACAGTTGCACAAATGATGCTATGTTCGACCTTTTTAATAATGTATACTCTAGCCTGAATAACCATCACTCTACAGCTACAATTTTCTGTGATTTCTCTAAGGCTTTCGACTGTGTAAATCATAATATCTTAATTAACAAATTGCAATACTATGGATTCAGGGGAGTGCCGCTCGAATGGCTTAAGTCGTATCTTGGCAACAGAAGGCAGCTTGTGAGGATTGATACGTCTATGTCTTCTTGTAAGTTTATAAAATGTGGTGTCCCTCAGGGTTCAGTACTTGGCCCTATTTTATTTCTGGTGTTTATCAACGACATTGCAAATCTAGACATTAGCGGTAAAATCTGCCTCTTTGCGGACGATACTAGTTTCACTTGGAGCGGCCCAGATCTTACGGCACTATATGATACTATACCCAGTGACTTACGCACCATTAAATCTTGGTGCGATTCTAATCTCCTATGCCTCAACCTTTCAAAAACTAAAGTTTTGTCATATAAAAGTACTGTACCAACCTTTTGTACTTAATAACACCACTATTGACGTCGTGGACTCTATGAGATTCTTAGGACTTGTTGTGGACTACTCGTTAAAATGGGACTTGCACATCGAAGCCTTATCAAAGAAACTAAGCTCTGCCTATTTTGCGCTAAGATCAGTGTCTAAGGAATTTAACTCATCAACTTCTAGAATGGTCTATTATGCCCTTTTTGAGTCGCATCTTCGTTATGCCCTTCCATTCTGGGGTACTTGCTGCGCGACAAAATTTGATCGTATTTTCAAACTTCAAAAGAGAGCAGTTCGATACTTATTGGGACTAAACAGTAGAACTCACTGCCAGTTTCATGACAAAATTGAAGAAACTAAACTAAAACTAGTTTTAGTGAACCCTAATCGATATTTGATTTCGGAAAATTGACTATACATATAGGTATCATATTTTACGCAAAATTGTAAAATTTCCAGAGATTTTGTGCCTAAATGGTTGACTTTAGCGAAAATTTTATTCTCTTTAATTTTGCTCTCCTCAATTTTTTGCGAAAAACGCATAGTTTTCGAGATACTTACAAAATACCGATTTTGGGCGCCATCTTGGCAAGATGGCGGCGCCGGCGGCAAGTCTGGAAATGTGCATTTTATGGATTTTAGTTAGGTTGGTAGACCCCAAAACCTATAAACTTGCAAAGTTTCAAAATTTCCTGACTTTTTTCCAAGCAAAAATCCCCAATGACTGAACTATTTTAATTATTCTAAAAAATATTCAGACCAAACGTCACTCATGAGCTATAAATTATTGTGAAAATTTACTCTTGTTGATATCAAATAATTGATATCGAAATAAATATTGAAGATCTCGAAGCAAAGTAATAATATTTAATGGGATAAAGCCAGAAACAAAAAAGCTTTTCGCACCCGTATGTAGGATTTTTTACAGTCCCATTCATACTTTTATTGCATACTATATTTATTACAGACTATATTTATTACAGATTATTGTGCAATAAATAATAAATAATTTTTATATGCAATATTTGTAACAAAATAACTTTCAAATTATGCTTTACAAATTAATTAACCTTAACTTTGTAATTATTGTATAGAAAATTATTGTAAGATAGAATAATAATAATAATAGGTAATCTAAATAATAGATTGAAATAAATGACAAGAGTTTTATTTTAGTTTAATAATGGATATTTATTTACAGATTGTAAATGTATCTAAAAAGAAATAAAGCTATTGTTAGTGGGTTGTAACTATTTATATCTTTCCTTTCTTCCTAAAGGGTTCAAGAATAAATTTGGACAAGGTTAATTCAAAAATAGAACTTAAACGTTACTACCTCAAAAGGATATATAATATGTATGTATTGAGTTATTTGGCTTAATATCGATTTTATAATTATTTCCATAAATAGTTTAGGTATCTATGGCGTATCACCCGTATACTTAATATTTCTTGTCTTTGCTTACTTCCATGATGAGAACAGCACAAAAATGCTAATTAATTATTTTTCACGTAATACCTAGATCAAATAAAATTTGAAGCATATTATAAGCATTGATTCTCACTATACATTCGGTTCCCATTCCATATCCATTCCATATTCGTTCCGTATTTTTATTGTATTGACGCTATACGTAAGCTTCCGTTCCGTATCAGTTCCATACTTTTTATTGTACAATATATATCATTACGAAAGTTTTATTTTAAAAATTTGTATCTTTTGGAAAAAGGGAATAGATTTAATTAAGATGCGAAAGAATAAATAAATACCAGGAAAATTTTAACAGAGCTGGTACAAATGTAAGAACTTGACAACGCTGTTACCGATACGCTTCAGTCCGTCCGCCAAAAAAATGTATGGAAGGAAAAGATATGGAACAGAAGGGAAAAGGATCAGGAAAGTAAGAATCATTCTTAATCTGGAATGATTGAGAACAATCAATTTGAAAGTTCTCATTTCTGTTTAAATTTCGATTCAAGTATTTTTTATATATTTCAATAAATTCCTATAGATTTGAACATGCTGGTTTCCCTCTATTTTCCGTGGAATTTCTATTCTCTAAAGTCTAATATATCACTGATTTGCAGCGGACAATTAAACTTTTAGTTACGTAATCAAGGGCACGACTTTTAAATTCATTGTTGCCATGGCAAAATATTCGTCGCCGGACTGACTAACTAGAATTTAAATTTCCCGCTGGGGATTCAGGTGGTAGCTTTGCTGTAAAAAATGTCAAGTTGCCATATTTATTAATTTAGTTCCTGACATTGTCATTCGTTTTGACACTTTAGTTTTGTATTACGAGTTTTTGGTTTAAATGAATTCCGTTGTTCTCGCCTCGGTATTTTTTTACTTTATTCGATAGAAACTGACAATCTGAATAGAATGACTTTTGACATTTTCGCTTAAAAGAAAATTTTATTTTAAATTTCAATCTAGAGTCTAGAGTGCCTGGCTGTGTTAAAAACACTAATTTTTAATTAAGGAGCGTTGTAAAAATATATTTGATCTTCTAATGTCATTAGTATCTTGTCCTGGCCGGTTAAAAGATGCCCAAATCGTATTTTTAATCATATCTTAATTTTTTCAAATGGAACGAGGGTGGCTCATTAGCATATTTGGAAAAAGCATTTTTTTACGAATAATTTGGTATTTGGTACCATACACTTGGTATTTCGAGTCAAATTGTAGTTATGAATCACATGTTGCAATTTCAAATAAAACATATTCGAAAATGTCAAAAGTTGACGTGTGGTGATACTTGCTAATGATCGAAATAATAAATTTGGAAATATTTTTGAAATAACTATTGTAGAAGCCTAAAATAATTTCTTATTTTTGCGTTAGCGCTACATCTCTAGCTGTATTTAAGTAAAATAATGCCCATCCCTAATTTGTACCGCTGCAAAAGGGTAGTACCGCGAATGCTGTTCGATGTGGTGGCGCAGGGTTGCCATTTATATTATTAGTTTAAATTATTCTTTAAATGTTATTGATAACTTTCCTGAACTTTCCTTATTTCGAGCACAGTCTGGTGTGTGTTTAATTTTTGTCGTCAGAAAGATTTACTCGAATTTTTCGACATTTCCATTATGCTTCCATTCCGCTTCCATTCCAACATTCCAACCACCGCACCGGTGCGATATCCCAGGGTGGTTTTCATGTTGCTAGAAAAGTTTTTTTGTTACATTGTAAGTGGCGGAGAATAGCCCTGCGAGTAAGTTATAGTTTTTCTTCTTTTACTTTCTTTCGTATACTTAGAGAAAAAATAATTTATTATAGATGTGTCCCTTACCAACTTAAGGGGAAGAATTGGCATTTTGGGAGCAACTTTCGTTTTGGAAACGAGAACATTTTGGCAGTTTTTTTTGAGAAGATCTTAAGAGCAGCAGTAGTTTTTTGAGCCGAAGTTTTGGAGCAGTTTTTGGTTTTTCTGAATGGTTCCGTGAAGGTTCTCTTTTGGAGAATGGTGTGAACTGGCGAGTTTCCCCATTTTCTGCAATGATTTTTGAAGTTTTCTGATGGTTTGAAGCAGTTACGTAATGGATATGGGCCCAAGTACGATAATCAACACTGAGTGACTACAGCTTCAGCGCAGAAGCTAAGTACTCATTTATGTATCGTTTTAAATTCTTTTTACTCTTTTTTCTTAACTTTCTACGACCTTTTTATTGAAACCTTTTAATGAAACTTACAGAACGATTACGTTTAGTAATTTATAATTGATAATATTTAATTTAATTTTAAATTTAAAATACCATTAATTTATTGTATATTTTTTTTAATAACTACATTTTTTATTCGTTTTCAAACTGGAGTTTAAACTAATTTAATTATTAATAAATGTACATAGTTTTTAATTAAATTTTGGTGTTTTAATTTGAGATATATCATTACAGAACATCTTTACCCTGTGGTAATTTTCTTAATTTTTTAAATATCACATTAACTTGGCTTAAATTAAGTGGTGCCCAACAATATGCATAAACATTTAAATAAACCTACAACTATTGTTCACCAGACCAAGAACAGCCGTACGCTGCGGTTTTATTTTTATTTTTTAACATCCTTTTTACATAATTTTTTCTAACCTTTTAAAAAGTAGTCGCACTATGTAGTCGCTTGTTTATTTCTTGTCAATGTCAAAAAACACCCAGACAACAATTTTCATCCTAAATATCGATGTTAGGTCAGAAATTATTTTGAAAAAGCCGAAATGAAAATTGAAATTTCTACACCCCGCGCCCCGTATCTCCGAAACGAAAGGTAATTTTTAGCTTAACTTTTTTACCTTATTTTTATCTCCTGAATATGTTGTCAAAGTTTCTCTATGACAATTCGGACCACCCTGTATATATATTAACTAATATGTGGAAATATACTTACTTGTATGGAATAACCCAGTATCCATCATTACCACTGTCCATAGTAATGTTAATTTCGGAGGAAATTATGCCTTGATCTGACATAATATCTTCAACGGTGAGCTCCATTTTAATGCATACAAGTGTCCAATATCATTCTAAAACAAAATACTGGTTTTATTAAATATTATAAAATATACAGGGTGGTCCGAACTGTATTCCGGAAAATTCGCCAGCATATTCTGCAGATAAAAATAAGTAAAAAAGATCGTATAAATGTATATCGTAAAATGCTTAGTTCCTATCTTTGACTGTATTGATGTTATTACAAATTTTGTTGCAAATATTATTCCTAATCTTAAATTGAAAACGGCGTTTTGCTAGAGCGAGCAACTGTAATTTTGGAGTTAAGATTTTTTTAAAATTTTTAACCCCCTCCCATACCCCCTTACCAAACCTCCACCCCCACCAAAAACTAATGGCCAGATTCTCGGGTGCCACAGTATTTTTGTGTCAAATTTGGTTAAAATCGGTTTAGCGGTTTTTGAGTTATCGTGTTACAGACAGACGGACAAACGTACAGACAGAGAGTCACCATGAAAAAATATTTTGTATTTAGGTCATTTATGACCCAAATAAGTCATTTTGAGTGAAATTAAAAAACCTTTTTTTTTATCTTAATAGCCTACCATACCTGTTGGTATGGTCGGCTATAAATAAACACGTTGAGTAGATAGTTATTTGACTGAAAAAGTAAATTTGAGAAATTTTTATTTTTTTTAAATTAATCATAAATTTTTCTGCGAAAAAATGACGATAAAACAGTTTCTGTTGAACTTTTGACACATAAACATTTCAAATTTATGATTTCAGTCTAATAACTATTTAGTCAACATATTTAATTTATGTCAATGATTACAGGTATTGATAATTTCGATTCCAAATATCTCGAGAACCATAACCATTATTTGTAACGATTTTTACCAAGAGACCTTTTCAAGATAAAAAACTTTGTAAATGTATATTCTTTTACTCAGTAGTTTTATACAGGTAAGGACGAAAAGTTATTACTCTTTAAACCAGTTAAAAAATATGTAGGTGGTGCCCTCTACAAGTAGGAGTCACATTGACATCAAAATCAAATTTCCCATGTCAAAAAACTCTCAGACACCCAATTTTCATCCAAATATTGATGTTACTTCAGAAATTATTTGGAAAAAATCGAAATAAAAATGAAACTTCTACACCCTGTATCTCTGAAACTAAGCATTTTAGGACATACATTTATACGAAATTTTTAAATACGAAGTTTAAAAATTACGAAGTTTCCGGAATACAGTTCGGACCACCCTGTATAATATAGTAGATATTTTTAGTAAACAGTTGTAAAACTTATTTTTTATTGCACCCCTTTAGAATTTCACTCAGTTTATTTGAATATTACATGACATATTTTTCACATGTTTAAAATTTGAAAGCCCGATTCATATGCAAAATTATTATCTATTGTATGCATAATTTCATTATTTGTTAAATATGGTATTGTCTATCCTTTAAAAAAAACTGTCTCTACATTGTGTATTTCTTATTTTAAATCTTATGCCTTTGCTTACGTTTACTAAGTGCATTTATTTTAAAATCATGTAAAGATACGTACACATTTTCATAAAGTCAACTTTTTGAATATCATAAAAAATACAATAGTGTCATATGAATGCACAGGATTATGTAAACCAGATGAGGTATTAAGATATTGAAATTTTAATTAATATAAGAAATTAATAATTAATCACGAATACTAACTAATTTCTTTTGTTTATAATTTCCTGTGATAAAGATTGTTTGCAGATGTGTTTTTCCCTGTCATAATTGGTTGATGATGATATCTTTACCGATATGTTTGGAACCATAGCCTATCTTTACCAAGCCTGTCGACTTACATATTTGAATGAAAGTTAAGCCGGGACCCCATTATGTCACACGCCACACCACGTCACGCTATCCCACGTGAGCCCACGTGTGGCGACGTGGGAAAGAGTGTACACATGAGAACAGGGAGAGACGAATCGCCCATCATACGTGTAATAGCGTGGGGTGGCGTGAGCCCTAGTGTGTACGCAACACATACAAGTGGAAAAAACATACGTACAGATCTTTATGACGTGGGTGGTATGACGTAGCGTGGCGTGGCATGTGGCCTAATGGGGGCCCGGCATTAGTGTATACAGGGTGGTCCGAACTGTAATCCGGAAACTTCGGCAACATGTTTTACAGATAAAAATAAGTAAAAAAGTTCGTATAAATGTATGCCCTAAAATGCTTAGTTTTGGAGATACGGGGTGTAGAAGTTTCATTTTTATTTCGATTTTTTCCAAATAATTTCTGAAGTAACGTCAATATTTGGATGAAAATTGGTGTTTGGGAGGTTTTTGACATGAAAAATTTGATTTCGATGTCAATATGGCTCCTACTTGTAGAGGGTGCCACCTACGTATTTTTTAACTAGTTTGAAGAGTAATAACTTTTCGTCCGTAACTGTATAAAACTAGCTAGTTAAAAAATATACATTTAGGACGCTTTTTACGTAAAAAAGTCTCTTGGTAAAAATCGCTACGATTGATGGTTCTCGAGATTAGTTACGCGACTAAAATCATAAATTTGAAATGTTTTTATGCCAAAAGTTCAACAGAAACTGTTTTATCATCATTTTTTAGAAGAAACATTTATGATTAGTTTAAAAAAACAAAAAGTTCCCAAATTTCTCATTTTTTAGTCAATAATGACATGTATTGACTATTTTCATTGTAAATATCTTGAGAACGGTTGCTCGTAGCGATTTTTACCAAGAGACATTTTTTTACCTAGAAAATCACGGAAATGTATATTTTTTCACTCAGTAATTTTATACAGGTACGGACAAAAAGTTATTACTCCTCAAAACAGTTAAAAGACATGTAGGTGGCGCCCCCTACAAATAGGAGTCATATTGACATCAAAATCAAATTTCTCATCTCAAAAAACTACCAGACACCAATTTTCATCCAAATATTGACGTTACTTCAGAAATTATTTGTAAAAAATCGAAATAAAGATGAAACTTCTACACCCTGTATCTCCGAAACTACGCATTTTAGGACATACATTTATATGAACTTTTTTGCTTATTTTTATCAGTAAAATATGCTGCCGAAGTTTCCGTAATACAGTTCGGACCACCCTGTATAACTACATATTCGCTAATCTTTTTTATGTAACAATTTAAGTCCTGAGCTCCATTCAAACTTAACTTCTTTCTCTTTCTTTCTAAATATGTATTATTAAAAGGTCGATCCTGGCGTAAGTTCTGACTACTAGCACAACCTATTCATTCTATAGCCAGTCGACTTCGCTAGTTTTTTAGTACCCGCATTTCACTTGCCGTGCTTGTTCTCGTACACATGCAGGCTGTCAGAGCGCCAGTGTCGATAGGCAATTTTTATAAGAACTTCAATGCAACTCAGAATCCGACTTGTTACTATTGTTCCTACTCTGGGTACCCGCTCACTAAGGGATAGAAGGCAATGAAAAAGCAAACGATCTAGCTAGAAAAGGAGCGAATATTCCACCAACTGGACCAGAATCGTTCTGCTTTCCAAGTGGAAACTGAAGAGCCTGGAAGATTGCATCTGTAACCTGGAATGGGAATCCTCCCACGGTCTAAGACACTCAAAATAGTTCCTCAGAACTTACGACCGAGAAAAATCAAACATTTTCCTTGATTTAAGTAAAAATAATCCTCGGATTGTCACCTCAGTAGAATGAAGCTAAGAAACAATGGCGAAAGTAGATTCTGTGGGGCAAACTCATGGGAGTTATTACTAAGTGTGTCGAGACGACAACCGTTCGTACCATAAATTTTGGTACGGCTGATGTCGAAGATGGAGAGCCGTCTCTAATATAACTCGTTATAACTCAAAAAAGGGGAACACACACTACATCTGTTAGGTCGCGGTGATTAACCCCCTCTTAAATATTCTACATTCTAGTAGTGTTGGGTTTCCAATATTCCAATTCTTCGGGAATTCCAATAATCGAATGATCATCCGAGGAACCATCGATCATAACATTTTCTTTGTATATAATATATAAATTTATTATTACTTTCTTTTAATTCTATAAATAAAATAGAGTGTGTTGCATACAAGAAATTTTATTTTACATCAGGGCATGTATGAAATATTGGAAACCGAAGTTATGGCCACGATCCACGATGGTTTTTGCAGTTCTCAGTTTACAACACAACTTTTTAAGTTTAAATGTCACTTTTTCACACTTCAAGGGTTTTGTAAATAAAATTTAAATTAAACTCACAACATAGTAATAATTACTGTGAAAATGGACGCTTTAAACACTTTTCGGTACTTGTTCAATGAGGGCGGTTTAAATTTTGAAAGATTTTATAATTTTTGAAGATTCTGACTTTGACAAGAGAAAATTATTTCTGTTCTTGTTAGCGGTTGCTCTTAGCAACCGCTATATAGGAGCGCAGATCGCGTACAATGGTCGCGATCCAAAATAATTATATATTTTGGTGGGTATTCCAATCTAAACTTATTTCCTTGGAACTTAAGTGAATGATTGTTTGGTACAGGTATTCTCTGGGTACAGGTATGTTTCTTGTAGACTGATTTGACAATAAAGACAATCTCAGTCCAAGAAGATATGTCATTTGAAATGTGTATAGGTATTCCGTGAGAGAAAGATCTTCTAGAAAATGTCATGTAAAATATGTACCGTATGATCGAGAAAAAACGGCGTCAGCGATGGCTATGGAATGAAGATCGCTGTCATTTTAAATGTAAATTTATATGGGAAATGTCATTGATGTTCATTTCCCAGCCAACTGGACGCCGTTTTTTTTCGATCATACGGTATTTATTAATATCTATTTTCAACTGAATTTCGTATTTCTCCAGCAATAAATTCGTTTGAAACATTCATAATATTGTAACTGTTGATTAAATACGTTCGTAACAAATACGTATATATTTATCATAATCATTGGAGTGTAACTGGCGATCATCTTTCACCATACGTTCCTTTTTTATATAATATTTCTGTAAACTGGTGTAACGAATGTTTGACAACACAAGTACCATTTTAAATAAAAAAAAAACAT